GTGTGTGTGTGTGTGGGTCCAGTGTTTTGCTGGGGTGATCAAGTCTGCGGTCTCATTAAAACAGGTGATTGATGCGTTCTCGCTCTGCTCCACTGCTCCCAGTTGATCGCGTAAACAGCAAACTGTGCACAAACACACACCAAATATTGTTTTAACTGGTCAGCTGGCTCAGCCTGCCTACTCTTGTGCTAAACAGCCAGCCTCTAATGAATTGAACATCAAGGTAATTGCCTGCCTCCCTGCAGAGATCTTTACACTCTAACTGCATCGATATGTTTTATGTATTTTTCTTCGATAAAACAAAATGCTGTGATGACAGTCCAGCTTTAGTCAACTTATTAACACACAGGCCCGCACAATGACATACACACATACAGACACCCACTTATTTTTTAGAGGCCAGAGAACAGAAAGAGCTTGTTAAAACTGACCTTTAAACAGGAGTTAAATTGAGGTAGGAGTAAAGCAGAAAATTGGAGGAGAGGAAAGTGAAAAGACTGTAAGAAATGAAAGAGGAACGGGGATTTGGAAGAAGTATCATGCCGCTGTGACTGATGATTGATCGGGTGATGCTTTTATTGTGTGGAGACTTGAGGCGATATTAATTACAAGAGTAGAATCACCTGTAGTTCAGGTAGTATGTGAAATTATAATATGTGAATAATATTCCTCAGTTTGTTAACAATATATCTACTGAGATTAATAATCATCTATTTAATCAGCTGTGCAGTGGTAGCTGTTTCTTTGGTATTTTAAAGTATCTTACACATCAGCTGAACAACAGACTTCATGAAATGTAATTGTCTTATTATGCAAGTTCTTAACTATGGGTACTTGTGCCTCTGGGAATACTTCTGCAAAATAGGTTGGTTAAAAAAATCTAAATTAAAAATCTGAGTAAAAAAGCAAATGTATCTAGTGCTAAAAACCAGGTATCAAAAAAGCAGCAGTATTTAGAAGAATGAAATATAATTGGCTATAAATGGTTAACTGGCAAACTGACCTAAATCCTCCACAAGAAACACAGTAAAGAGCCTAAAGACCCAGCCTATAAATTCTTCTCATCCCAGTCTGGTCAAGCATCTGAAGGATGCACCGAAACGAGACCAATACAAAGAGCCTAAAACCACAAGAACGAGAACAAAAGCATCTTGGTGCCACAGGACAGAGGTCCCAATGACATGCCCAAATGGATCAGAGCTATTCTGATGGAGGATGTGACAAACTGCTTTGTATATTATTAATAACAGAAAAGTACTGTGTATTATATCACCAACTAAAATGAAATATACCATGATAGAGGACATTTTTCCCACTTAGACTTTCCATTTAATCCAGTTGTGTTGTTTGTTTGTTTACTTCACTTCACTTTATCTTCACTTCTCTGGTTAAGATTTTAGTTTGAATCAAAATCAGGCTTGTGTTACTGTTACCATTACTACCAAAGTCTGTATAATGTAAACATGTATTTGTTTGTGCTTAGGACTTTGAGATGAATGGGGACCTTAAGATGTCAGTGATCTGTCTCCTGGAGGAGGTGCTTAGAGATCCAGACCTTCTGCCTCAGGAGAGGAAAGCTACTGCGAACATACTAAAGTACAGCTGAAACTCAAATACATACAAAAACATGCTCTCGTACAAACAAGCAGCATGTACACGAAGCACTTTGGCACCTTTGAATGACAAAAATATGTCATCAAATAGTGTTGTTTTTAATTTTTAATACTCTCTTGTTCTAATACTTTTACTGTTCTCCTCTATTCTGTCTGATAGTGCGCTTTCTCAAGATGATCAGGAAGATGCCCAACTGAGAATAGAAGACATCTTACAGATGGTGAGAAAATGAAGCTTTTCCCTATTTTCTGTCATATATACAAACTTTTTCATCCTGGGTACTGATATTAACAATTCCTTTGAGCCAAAGTTCAAAATTCAGCTGCCCTAAACCCTCAGTATCTGTTCTTGGATCTATATCAAAGTGAGGAGCAGAGATCTCATCGATATGTTTATCCCAGGCAAACAGCTCTGGCTGTAGGCACAGCACTACCCACATGCTGTTCAAACTTTCTCATTGCATTCAGAAGAAAGGTGATTTAAGGGGAGGGTGAAGAAAGCTAAATCAGATTGTTTTAGGCAGTGGATCTACAGTGGGCATCTTGACGAATGCCCACTATAAGATAAAAAAAAGATTTATTTTGAAATCTCAAGGTATTTTATTCAGTTAGCTTTAGTAGTGACTCTATAATATAGCGAGTTATAAATTTGCCTAAGATGCAAAAGGTCCTTATTCAAGACCAGGAGGAGACACCAGTCATTTTGGGGTTGTGTCAGAAAGGACATCCAGCATCCACATATTTGATGTGGATGCTGGATGTGGAGCTACCTGCTCTGGCAACCCAATAAGGGAGGAGCTTATTTAGCAAGCTTTAATCTATCTACTCTATCTCTAGTATAAAAAGAGAAAAAGTAATTTTCTACATAGCTTAAATGTCTTGTTTTGCAATACCTAATTTTATGGCTTTGTTCATGTAGTTACAAAGTATTACAAATTTCTGCGAAATACTTTCACAGTTATCACCACCTGTTGCACATGATGACAAAAAAAAAATCACAAGCACTGACAATTTCCTAGATTGGATCGGTTATCTCTGGAAATCACAAACAAATAGACGTATTGGGTTTGTAAATTGTGAAAAGCGTCTGTCATTCACAGTGTTCTAAGCTCTGGGCAGAAGGGGTAAATAGACTCTGTGCTGACAGTGATGCTACCCAGGGACTGTCAAATGTCATAAACCATATTTATCACAGCCTGTCTCTTTATTAGATATTTATATCTCACTATCTCGCTTCTGTTTGGGGTCATTTGTTTTTATGTCTTTGTCTCTGAATGTGTGTGTGTGTGTAGGCGGACTGCCCGAAGGCAGAGTGTTTTGAATCTCTCTCAGCGATGGAGCTGGCTGAACAGATCACTCTGCTGGATCACATCGTCTTCAGGAGCATCCCTTATGAGTCAGTCCTCTCATGAAACCCAGTCAGTCCTCTCATATGTGATCTGCATCAGGTCAAATAGACATAAATCCCCTTTATGGGCACTGGGCATGCTTTTAGAAGGACATAAATGAAAACTAATGGTATTTTATTTCAACTTTACAACTCCAAACATCAGAGAATAGATTTGCACTTGCTTACCATCTGATTTCAGAGGCATTAGAAAATGAAACTTATACTCTGCTATACTTGAGTGTGTGTGATCTCATTTGGGTATATCTCTGTCTTCCTTCTCGAAGAGAGTTCCTGGGCCAGGGATGGATGAAGGTCGATAAGACAGAAAGGACACCTTACATCATGAAAACGAGTCAGCACTTCAATGATGTAACTTCTTCCAATGTGTTTAAGCACCATTTTTTTCCGGACTCTTCTGTAAAGATTCAGTACCTATAGCTCTTCATTAATACCATACTACTCTATTCTTTTTCTTTTGAAGATGAGTAACCTGGTGGCATCGCAGATTATGACCCATACTGATGTGGGCTCAAGGGCCAACTCCATTGAGAAGTGGGTTGCTGTGGCAGACATATGTCGCTGTTTGAACAACTACAACGGAGTATTGGAAATCACATCTGCACTCAATCGAAGTGCTATCTACCGTTTGAAGAAGACCTGGGCTAAAGTCAGCAAACAGGTGGGGTAAATCCTGAACAACCCTCTCTATATGCAAAACCTGAAATACTTGTTTAAAGATCTAAAGTGTATAAACACTTAATCTGATCGTGAAGCACTAGAAAAAAAACATCTTTTGTCCAAAATGTTTACAAATGGGAATTCTTTCATTGGCACTGATACTGTACCATTAGAGGGTTTCAGAGAAGAGACGAGTGCTTAATCGCACTTAATGTTAATAGCGGTAAGGTTTATTGTCTGCTCTTTACTTAATCCTGATAACATTCAGCAGACAGGCTGCCTGCAATGCTATTCATGGCTGGAGAAAGTTTCAAATCTTGCCATTTTAGATCATTATAAATGCCTGTTTGTGATCTTTTCCAGACTAAAGCCCTGATGGACAAACTGCAGAAGATTGTGTCCTCAGAAGGACGATTTAAAAATCTGAGGGAGACGCTGAAAAAGTGAGACTTTGCATTTGTTTTTAAAATACCATCATATGTAAGAAAAAGCGCAGCACAATGGTGCAGTGGTTAGCACTGTTGGCTCACAGCAAGAAGGCCCTGGGTTTGAATCCGTCATCTGGCCGAGGCCTTTCAGTGGCTTCGGCTTTATTCTTTAGTGGGTTAGATTATATGGTGATTTCAAATTTCCCCATAGGTGTGAATGTGGGAGGGAATGGTTGCCTGTCTCTCTGTGTTAGCCCTGCATCACACTGGCGACCTGTACCCTGCCTCTTGCTGTATGATAGCTGGGATACACTCTGACAACCCTGATAGGGATAAGCAGGAGAGAATAGACGGACGGACGTATCAAAAAATGAGTTTTTATGGACTTGGAAGCAAGTTGATTTGTATGCTATTCTTTAACTCTCTCATTCCAGTTGCAACCCTCCTTGTGTGCCATATTTGGGAATGTATCTAACAGACTTGGCCTTTATAGAAGAGGGAACACCAAATTTTACAGAGGAGGGTCTTGTTAACTTCTCCAAAATGAGGATGGTAAGCGTGTGTAAATAAATGCACTGGAAGCAGATCATCTTGAGGTGCACGCTGTTAAGTCAGTATTAAGATAAATTCCATATTTTATTCAGATATCTCACATCATCAGAGAGATCCGACAGTTCCAGCAGACGCCGTACAGAATAGAGCATCAGCCCAAGGTACTTTTATTTTTTATTTTTATCTGTACTACCTTTCTTTATCTAAAGATCAAAAACATCACAAGGCATTATTTCATTTAGACGACATGCAATTATTATTACTTAAACAATATAATCAAAGGGCAGGATAACATTTAAACTGTCAAAAAGCTTCTAAAATAATAAAAGAAAACTAGTCTGAAGAAGTGAGGTTTGAGAGTGGTTTTAAGGAATTCGTTTTGCTTGGTTTGACTGCACAGATTATTCTTGGATGTGCTTGTCTTGGCTCTTGTTCTGAGAGGATTACTGAAAATCCCTTTGATATATGGGTAGTCTTTTTTTTTAAAGAATGCATGGAACAATAGAAACCATCCCAAATTGCCCAGTCTCCTGTTTTTGCTTTAATGTACTCATCTTTCAAACAGGTATTAGTTGGACCAACCAGAAAACAGATTACTTTAATGAATAGCTTATTTGCAAAATCCTATTGGTGTATTTCCTGTGAGATCATCTTATAGTCAAAATCACATCAATCTTTAATTGAAAATAAATAATTGAAGCTGTAGCTGTAAAGATATTTTAATCATCATGCCTGTCATCCATATTTGATTATAACCAGGTGACCCAATACCTTCTGGATAAGACTCTGATCATGGATGAGGATACACTTTACGATCTCTCCCTGAAGATAGAGCCCAGGCTTCCCGCCTGAGTTAGAGCTGTTTGTGGCCTGTGGGAGCCTGCTGAACCTGGACCCCCAAAAGGGCAAAACGCCCACGTGATCTCATCAATCAAGAGAAAGTTGGAAGAAGAATTTTCAGAGCAACTTGGAAATAGAATGAGATTTGGTCTAAGGAGACAGATATCGATGCATGCGGTCAGTTGAACATGTTTGAGAGCTTTACAAGAGAAAGGGGAATATAAGAATGAGAAATGCACCTGTAAGGTTGTAAGACAGCTCGTCTTCGAGGGGAAAGAGAGGTTGCATTGTATGAAGGTTTTGAGGAAATTGCATGTCATAGTCTGGTGCACATGGCATCACACTTCCTGAGGCAGCCTGAGAGTGCAGGACAGGGTGAGAGAGAGGAGTTAATGGATGTAACAGAGATGTAGCATATACAGATAGTGTGACAGAGAGGTGTTTGAGCTTACGTCTCTGTACTATTGTCTGTGTTCTTTTGCCTGTGCATTTTCCGTGCCATGTCCTGTGGAGCAAGACCCCTAAAATGCTTTCTGTCATGAAGGTCACTGCATAAAACTTGCATGAATTCAGCTTGGGATGTAACTGTCTAAATTGCCTTCATTCTGACCCCTGATCCTCTGCTTAGCATGCACCGCTTTTGCCAGGGTGACTTCTTAAGCCATTATGCATCCTCAGTGGGTTGAATGCGTCAAAAGCCTTTAAACCTTCACATATAATGCAGAAAGACGAAAACGAAACACAAAATGTGATATATTTTAATGAATTTCGATTTTTCCCTTGTTAAGCAATTAATTCTATATTTATTTGTGATTGCTTAATTTGGTTGACTTTTTTTTTTAAAGAACATATGAATGATTAAAATTAAAACATTTATTCAGTGCCTTCCACTAGTGCAGGTCAATCTCCCACATTCCCAAATTGAAAATTTGCAAGCACAAAGTTTTATATAAATTCAAATTTAAAATATTAAAATTTTATTTAAAATAAAGACTGTAATTTTACTCATTCATTTCCTTTTTTTTAAGATCAGACGTGTCATTTAGACTAAACAGTAGCATGTCAGTGTAATGTAGTAAAGCCATTGCAGCATCCAATGAGCATATATCTCCCTCTACTGTTTAAATATTGTTATAACCTCTGCTAACACAAAGCTTTGCAGCATGTGTGTGCAATTTGTTTGTTTTTTTGGCATTTATTGACTGTCAGCTGGGCTAGTGGGTGTCATCAGGCCTCTGTGTAACTGGGGCGACTACAGTCTAAACTGGGACAGTACACAGTGCACTCCCTGAGATGTAGCTTTGCTTGATTGAAAGGGTGATCGTTATTTACCATGCTATTTATTTCAGATGCTGTATTTATATTATTTTTTGTATATAGTGACTTTACACATATTGTACGATTGAAGAAGAAATAATTGGAATTGTTATGCTGTGAATACTGATTTTATTGTTGTTGTTGGGTTTTTTTCTTTGTCTCTGGTTTTCATGTTGAATTTTAATTTTGCATCGGAGGCTCTTGTATAGGAAAAAAAAATCTGTTCAACTTTATTCTAAAAAAATGCCTTTTGAAGGTTAAAAAATGTAGCACTTCAATAATCAGACATTGTTTTCTGTATTAATGATATGATAAGTATAATTGTCCTGCATGCACACAACAGCTGCATGTTGTGCATGTCTGACTGGACGCTTCCTTTACCTTCTTCCTCTGCTTCTCTATAATAATATCGTCTCTGTAGCTGTCAGGAAAAAAAAAGAAAGGTATAAAAACAATACTTTGTCCATCAAATCAGGCACGTTTGTCTCTTAGTGTACCTCACAAAGTTAAGCCTCTTGGCTGTGTCTTCTGCAAAACTAGCTGTTGTTATGCAGTAGCAGTGTTGCAACTTTTCTCACAGAACAATAACCTTATTCAAAATCAATTAGAGGAAATGTTTCAGACTTTGCTCTTGGGAAAACTTGCCCTTTTGCACTGCGTCTGTAATTCTGAGTGTCTGTTTCACATTAAAAGTGTGGGAATACAGTATGCTATGTTTGTATTGTAATATTATCTTTGTGTTTATTTGTTTGCATTTTCATGTGTGGGTGCAGGGGAAATAAATTCAACATGCCTTATACGTTTGCATATTTCTTTGGAGTCCTTAGTAAGAATTTCAGTAATATTACCACTAATGCTGAATCCACTTCAGCTCCTTTCAATAATGCATCAGAAAATATCACTAAAATATTGTGGCCAAACTTTGTAAAACCAGACACCAGAAATAGATTTTAATTCCAAAAAAAAGTTGGAGACACTGAGTAAAATGTAAGTAAACGTAGAATGCAGTAGCTTGCAAATTTCAAACTCATTGTTATGCACAGAAAAAAATGTAAACAAAAATTTCATGAAAAATATTAGCTCATTTTGAATTTGGTGGTAGCATCATGTCTCAAAAAAGTTTGGATGGGGCAGCAAAAGTCTGGAAAAGTAAGTGATTCTAAAAAGAAACAGCTGAAAGGACATTGCTGCTAACTAGGTTAACTGGCAACAGGTCATTAACATCGAAAGAGCATCTTAGGCAGAGCTTCTCAGAAGTCAAGATGGGTAGAAGTTCTCCAACCTACAAAATACTGCATCTAAAAAACTGTACATGTAATATATTATGTACAGAATTTTTCTGCTGTTGATCCAGGTTCAGATCACCAGTCCTCCCTTACACTAGCCACCTCCTCCAGCTGATCCAGGTGGACACTGAAGCATTCCCAATTTAGCTGACAGACATAATCTCTCCAGCTCCCTTTCTTCTGTCCTGGGGCCTCTTCTTGGTAGCTGAACCACCTCAAGTTGCTCCTTTCACTGTGCAGGAGTAGTGAAAGGAGCAACTTGTAGTGGCTTTACTATGAGCACCTCCTGACTGACAGAGGTCCTCATTCTATACCTACACCAGAGTCCAGTCGCCCTTTGAATATTATTCTATAATGTTGAGTCTGGCTATAGAATAATGTTCTTCAATGAAAGAACTATTCTGGGAATCTTCAAAAATCTCTGTGCACAAGAAACAAGGCTAAAATCAATATTGGATCCCTGTGATACACAGCATTATAAACAGGCATGAGTCTGTCATGGCAATCACTGCACTGCACTTCCAGAAGTTAATGTCTGTGAACACAGTTCCCTTGTGCCATCCACAAATAAATGTTAAAGCTTCATCATGCAAAGAGGAGGCTGTGTGTGAACAAGATCCAGAAATGGTACCATCATTTCTGGGCGAAAGGTCATTGGAAATTAACTGAGGCAATATGAAAAACTGGTTTGTGGTCAGATGGATTGAAAATTTAAATTATGTTTTGAAAAAAGTTTACTGTGTCCTTCAGAGTCATATTTCAGCAAAAACAATGCTAAACCACATACTGCATCTATCATAACAGCATGGCTTCGTAGTGGAAGAGTCTAAGTGCTAAACTGGCCCAACTGCAGTCAGACCCTTCACCAAATAAAAACACTTGGTACATAATGAATCAAAAATATGGCAAAGCATACCCAGACTGTTGAGCAGCTGGAATCCAACAAGAAGGGAACAACATTCCTCACCCCCAGCAACTCAGTTCCCAGATGTTTATGAGAATAGGGGATGCTACATAAAAGTAAACATGACTGACTTTTTTTCCCCAGCTGTGTTGTGGCCATCAAATTCAAAATGATCTAATTTTCTTCTTAAAATTGTATATTTTCTCAATTTAAATATCTGACATGTTTTTTTCCATTATGAATCAAATATGAGTTTATGAGATTTGCAAATCATTGCATTATGTTTTTATTTACATTTTACACAGCATCCCAACTCTTTTGAAATTGGGGTTGTGCATATCGAATGTGATAGTGCTCTTCAAATAATGAATAATTAAGTAATTTAAAATGTTGCAGATTCACATTTGAAGCATTGCAATAACAATCAACACGATATTTGAAAGTCTAAATCTCTATCCTTGTTGTCTGGAGATATTTCATGCAGATCTTGGGATATTTGCAGAGAGTATGACCTTGAATTTTATGAAGATGCCCCTCTGTATAATTAATTTGCTCCAAGCCACTTTTTATTTTGATTGTTAGGGATACAAGAATGTGCAAAGCATGCTATGAATTTCTATTCGGATATGCTTCAGGCTGCATTGCTGCTTCTGATGAAGAGTGCTCTATCTTGGGACTAGTGCTGAAAACAACAAGTACAGTTCATGCATACAGTATTCTACGTTGGCCTATAAAACCTGCTTACATGTGCGTAGTCCTTTGTGAAAGAGTAACCAGGCAGCTCCGAGGCAAACATACGCAGTGCACTGCATGGAGGATGGTATTTTAAGAGCATAACCTTTTTTTTCCCAACTGCTTTTTTTCTTTCACTTTTTCACAAAATTACAAAGTACTACTGACTGCTTTGCACTGATGTTCAGAGTGGTGCACAAATGAAACACTCTCATCCACTGTAACACGACATTATATTTTGGGAAAAAAGTATACTTCTTAGTGCCACCTAAAAACAAAGCGCTACAAGTTCTATATGTCAGTGAAACAACTGTAATCACTATATCTGCCTCATAAATGACAGGTTCTGACTCTGAATGATGACCCATGACTGTGGTTGTCCTGCCACCATGTGGTCACAACTGATTTTGCGTCTTTATCCACCAGTACACACATCCATCAGCCAAAGCTCTGGACCAGGGCTGCCCAATCCCAGTCCTCGAGAGCTACTATCCTGCAGCTTTTAGATGCATCCCTACTCCAACACAGCTGAATCAAATGGTTTGATTACCTCTTCAGCATGCCATCATGTTTGGCAAAGGCTTGGTAATAGGCCATTCATTTGATTCGGGTGTGTGGGAACAAGGATGCATCTAAAAGCTGCAGGACGGTAGCTCTCGAGGACCGGGATTGGGCACCCCTGCTCTGGACACTCAAGCATGGGCTCAACAAGACCATCAAAAGTAAAAGATGTATTATCTGCCCCTTTTAGTACACTTATAAATCTTATAAACTGGTAAATGACTAACTCTTTTTAATATCTATTTTTGTCGATTTAGCCTAAAATACGGATCTTATGGTGATCTGCAATTCTACACTGGCTGTGGAGGTGAAGAAGAATAGTGAACAGAACAATGCAATAAATGAATGAATCGTTAAATATGTATGTTAGTCCAAAGTGCTTTGAGTGGTCTGCAAGAATAGAATAAGTGCTATATAAATACCAGTCCATTATATTCAGTTTAATTGTGGGTGACATATTTAATTCTATGTAGTGATTGTATGCTTCATGGACACGTATTATGTAGTGGTTAATAATTGTCTTAGATATTCTGAAATTAACAAGTATCAAACTAGAGAGCATTAAAGCGGTGGCTGCAGCTCAGGAGATAGAGCAGGACATCTACTAATTGGAAGGTTTTGGTCTGATTCCTGACCGCTCCAGTCTGCATGCCAAATATCCTTGGAGAACACACAAACCCCAAGTTGCTCATCCATACTTGTGTGTGAATGTTAGATAGGAAGCTGTTAACCCTTTCATACATGAATTATGACAACATCCAGGATACTTTTCTTAAGTATTTTTATTCACCTTCAGGCATGAAAATATAAATAAAAATACTTAGGAAAAGAATCCTGATTGCGGTTGTCATAATTCATGCATGACAGGGTTAAAAAAAACAATAATTACAATGAAACACGTCATACATCTATCCATCCATCCATCCATCCATCCATCCATCCATCCACCCATCCATTTTCTTCTGCTTATCCGGGTCGCGGGGCAGCAGCCAAAGCAGCCTGTGCTCTGTTCCAGTAGCTCAGGAACAGAGCGGGAGGGAGAGAGGGAGAAAGAGAGCCAGGGACAACAACGTCACATTAGAAAGGTATAGTGATCATCCACAACTACTTTCAGTTGCAGATGATAAAGGATTCAGAAAGTTTATTCACGCAGGACAAAAAATGTGCATCTTCTTTTTGTTTTCA